ATTTTTCACCAAGTCCTGCGATTATATGTCGAAAAAGTCATTAAAGACTGTCAAAGTTAAATTGATAAGAAAAGTTACTTAAAATCTTGATGATTGATAAGATTTATTTTTACCAAAAATATGTTCTTAAATGAATTCCTAAAACTTAGCAAAGATAGTCAACTTGTTGAATTTAGAAGTGTCTACGATGTTTTATGAAATTATGAGACACTGATCAATCTTGGGTAAAAAGAAGAGACAATTTGTGGCACCTAATACCTCATCCTAAATTATAATAAAGAACAAGATACACTTACCTCTGTGAAGATTGTTGGAACTAAATTCCATTTTCATGACTTCCTTCATACTGCGTACAACTAATAACATTCATAACATTCAAATATGTAAAATAAATTGATGTAACCACACATCAATATTTTCTAAAAGAACTTCATACTGTTATCTGGTTCTCCATAATAGTATTTGGTGCGGGGAAGGATGTTCCTTTGCTCCATATATGATCCATCACTTTACCACTAGGTTCTGAAACACAGTAAACGTGAACTTACAGGAACAAGATAAGAGAAAATTTATCATCCTTTGTCTAAAGTATACTCCATCTAATTGTTGTTGTCATAATTTTATTCATCACAAGTGTTCAACATACCAACGAAATAAATTCTAGGAATATATGCACCATCAACAGCATATGCTTTATCTTTTGGTTCTTCGTCATCCTTAATGAAAGAAAGCACCAAAACACTAAATCACTGGATGCAAAACAAAGAATTCTCTCTCATAACCATTGATATACCTCTGTGTTGACCATAACAAAGTTTTTACTGAGTTCTTCGATTTCTTTTGATACAGCAAACTGTGGTTTCAAAACTGTAAAAATGGAAAAATTCATGTTCTTTATTTTTGCCTTCGTATTTATAACTTCGTCAGTTGTGCTTAAATATAATAATACTTACTTTTGCACGAACTGCACCAGGATTTGTGAATTAAAACCATAATTGGCTTTCCACTGCAAAATTATGAACACATCAAGTTTGTCAAATATGTTACTTTTGTTTATAAATTTGACAATTTGTTGAGGTTTTTATAGCTTTTCGAGATTATCAATCCTACAAATGTAAAATACCTTTTTCTAGATTCAACTTCGGCGTTAGCCATTGTCGTCCAATTTATGTTTTTATTATAACCTCGGTCAAGTGAAATGTTTTTTTCTTGTTCAATAACAGCCTTCATTTTCTCAATAACTAAAAGTAAAGAAAACTATTTGCGTCGTAGATAAACATTGGTCCCGTTGGATGTATTGCAAAACAGTGCAAGTGACAAACTATGTTTTGACTAAAATATTAGTTGTAATATTCGCACCATCCTCAGCTTTGCTGTAAAAATACTGGTATTTTTCTCGCTTTTCATTCATTATGTTTTTAAGAAATTTTCCATTTTTACCTACAAAAAAACGAAGATTTACAATGACCATACAAACTACCTTTCTGAAAATTACATTTCCCTTCTGGTACGATTCTCCCATAATTACGAAAGAAATATGCATAGTTAATACCATAAAATAAAATTCTCGGTACATATTTTCCATCAATATCGTACTCTTCTTTTTGGCTTTCTGTTTCATCCTAATTAAATAATATTACATGTATAAATGCAAATCTTTGCGATATAAGTACATATCTTTAACACAACTTTCAACGTTATATTCAAAAAAAACTTTTTCAAGAATAAAATACGATAAAATTATTGTATCATTGTATTAAGGACCCCCTACAACATCACTCTGATGACATTTCTGTTGACACTCTGAATATAATTTCATATGATTTTTAATTAACGCATATTTTTCCAGAGGTACAATACTTTACATACTTATTTACAAGACAATAAAATAATATAATACATACATTGGTGTTGATCATCACAAACTCACGGCTGAGTTCTTCAATTTCGTCTGATGACAAAAACTGCTCTTTTAAACCTGTAAAAATCATCAGAAAATACTCTGTAAAACATGCCTTCGATAACCAATGGCGTAGCTAGCTTGCAAGTTTGTTTGTACTATGTAAATACTTCAGTGTTACTGTCATTAAAACTCTAGATTTGCTAAAGAAATAATTAATGCCAATAATCTGACATATAAGAACAGCCGAAATTGCCGACTATTGCTACGCCTTAAATGGTAACATCGATGGTGTATGCAATAAATAGTTTAAGCAAACATTTGGAATTCAGCAGAAGTTGAATTTTGATTTTATATATAAACAACCTACCTACGCAAGCTTTACACCAACTTTTATATATAATCAACATTTTGGGTTTTTTACTAAATGTGAAGAACCATGAAATTTTTTAAAATATATTAACGTTCTATTTTAATTAAATACGAGCTCCATGCAAATCTAAAAGCTCTTTCAAATTTACCATTAAACAGAAAACCCGCGGGAAAAACTTAACTGGATTGCTTGGTAATTAAACTGCATGACGACTTAAGTAATTCAAAATTTTGTGTAAAGATAGAAAACTGGATTTTCTTCCTTTTCGGGCCTTGCAGCATTCAAACTTTGAATGTAAAAATTGTTAATTTGATAATGCACCTTATATGCATCACAGTTTCATCAAGTGACTTCCAGTCGATATTGCTGCCAAATCCTAAAGAGAATAATTGTAAAATATATAAACACGGTCATATAGATGATGCTTAAAACAAATATTCTTCAATATTCAAACTTTACACACATACCTTTGCTAAGAAGTTCTCCAGTCACTTGTGTGATCGTAAGAAGAATGTTAATAAACACTAGAATAACCTGAGTATTGCTAAATTTCATTTCAAAATAATTTTAGACGCAGAAGACAACGCACATCCAATTTGCTACAGAGAAATATCTATACTTTTATAATAGAAGGAAATCTGTTGAAGTCAACCAAAACAAAGGTTTTGCGTTGAATAAGTAAATAGATCATGTTGCTGGTGGCTTTTTTATTTGAAATTTTCATTTCTTAAGAAACACAAAAAACATAAAAGGAGCGCGTGGCATTTATTGTAAACATAGGCCACAAGTTGTTGAAATTAAAAAAGCCTTTTGTATGTATATAAACCAATGGCGAAGCAAACTCGATAATTGCAATACGCATATTGATACTTGCATGTTCTGCCGTAAGCTGTCGTATTCCCTTGCTCTACTTTGGAACCATACTAAACGTCGAAAGCTCTAAAAAATTCGTATGCCATGTCTAATTATCAAAACGTTTTTATGTTGAAGTAAAATTATCTTTAATCAAACAACACTTATCAGTCATCACACTAATCTACAAACACATTTTCTTAATGCAACATTCAATTGAAATCTTTTGTGTTATAGATATCCAATACTAATTCCAGAATCACTCAGTCATGCCTTCGTCACTGGTAATATAATTTGATAAATATTAAAGATCTTTTTAATTTTTTCATCAGTTTTTACTGTGTCAATAATCTGAAAGTGTCTAAAAGTGGGCTAAAAGAGTCAATGTACTAGTCTTGATGACACAGTTGGTTTTTGCTATTATCGTTTTTATAAAAAATCCAAAATATCATCTTCACAGAAGTTATTGTTTTCCATTACAACAATCCTCTGTTATTACTTTGCAAAAGTTCGAAGAAGTTTGTCAGAGACTTGCTGCAATATTTCGCCTATAAAAATTCTCTATAGTTTGTCGTGTTTAAATTATTGAATTTAAGTTATTTCCATCGTTTAAAAGGAAATATAACTTATTCATTGTCACAATTATAAGTTTCTTAATTGTTTGAGTGGGTGAGAGATTGCAGCATCAAAAGAACTTAAAATCTTTAAATAAACTTGTTATAAACTTCTTTAACTAAACATTAGCTAAATATCTTTTATAAAAAGAATCCCGAAATTCCACATACTTCCCTTTATCGTAAAAGTGTAGGCAGATGACATAATGTTTTTTTTTCTCTCAGTGAATTTCCTTTTCAACTTGACAAGTGTTACACCGTTTCTGTTAATTTGCATTGACGCCGTCGGTTCCGTCGTAAAAATAATAATTTTGAGTTGTCTTTCTTTTTGATCTCAAGGTGGTTAAGCAGTCCACAGTTTAAAATCAAATGCATTTCGCTTAAAGGAATACGACTTCAAATAATGAAAGGGTTCACATCTATACAGCGTTAAGGCCGCCTGGAACTTTTTTATAATATTGTTCCAAAAATATAGTGGAAGTTGCAATATACAGAGCTAACAAAAATTGAGTGAAATACTTGATCGTAAACAACTAAACTCAATTCTCAAAAAGGCACTTTTTTTCAAGTTTTTGATGGGTTTTTAGAAAGGTTGCAATCCAGTGGTTTTGAAAATAAGGTTTGAAAATTCGTGAAACATTTTGAACAGAACCACAAAACTTTAATAAAAAAATTTATGTCTTTCTAAATTACATTACTAAAAAACTATAATTTGTATCCCAAATTTTTTCAACTTCTTGCCATTGGCAATTTTCCAAGTAAACAATGTCGTATCTCCAGCTACAATTTTCGTTTTGACAAAGAAAAACTCATTTTAGAAAATATTATAAAAAACGTCTGACACAAAAATGAATTATACTTCCTATAACGAACCATTATACCAGAATTGTTGCATGCTTCTACCCGTGTCAGTATAATTACTTTTCCAACATTACGTACCTTAGTCAAGTATAAGTATCTTTACAAGTAATGTTTAAAGCTCACTTCATTACATTGTTGTGTGCATTTGCCAGCTAAAGAACTTTAGTCCTCGAACCTTATTGACGATTAGTTTTTTGTCATCTAACGAGCATGAAGATGTATTTACCCACTTAATGCATGAATTTCACTAAATTCTTACAGACTACAGGCACCTCAGTTGTGCTTTCTCTTGTTGTAATATGTATTGTATATGTAAGTATACATATACTTACATAGTTTCAGTAAGAAATCAAATAACCAGCCTATGGTTTATATTTGCTAAGTGAGGATGTATTTACGATTTTTATGGATGTCATTTATGAAATTCAATTGAACTTTAATCAGTGATTGTACTAATATACTTAAGTTTTATTGTCTATGCATCTCTACGTCTAAATATTTATTTAGCAATTAAAAATTATTTGACAGAGCGTTTAATAGCGTACTTAGCTAAATCACGAGAACAATGAGCTAAAAAGGTGAACAGAGAGGTGTTGAATGTTCACTAAAAATTCACACAGTATACAAAACTGCATGCTTCAAATTAACCTTAAACAATGTTTTTCAACGTATATTTTAAAAATTGAGGATCTCCTTTAAATGTTCTATAGCCTCTTTCAAGGTCAAATTTTTCCAACTCGAAGGGATTTCTGGTTCCTTCATATTATAATAATTTGCAAGTTCTTTCGAGAAATTTACCATAAACCACTGCCAATATTTAGATTGTTCAAAAGAAGGATCTAGAGGAATTTTCCAGGACGCATAATTTTCGTTTACTAACTGATAGCTTTCATAGGAATGAGGTTTCCAATTTGTGTCCATGTTTTGAAATGCTTCATTTCCAGCTACAAGAAATGTACAAATATCGTAAATCAAAATCTCATTGTCGATACTGCGATAACCAGCCAAACACAGAGGACGGTGCATTTTTGTCCCGTAATGACTCAGGTTTTCACCATTGTCTGAAAGGTTTGATTGCTCCATAGTCTTATCATACAAAGCTTTGCAAAATGGACAAACTGCCTGACCTCCAAAGAGAGACTTAAAAAGCCTTTCGTGGGGTGCTGGCTGCCAATTACCAATAGTTTCGCTATCCAGTTCAGCATCAGTAAGTTCTTGTACAAAGTTTTCGACAAACTCACGAACTTTTTTGTCAAATAAATCAGTTTCTTTTAAATCTTCATTCATTGTAGCAACACCAAACATTTCTTTTGTGATGGCAAGAGAAGAACACTGCTCTACAAACTTTTTAATCCAATTCGTTACTTTCCAACTCTCGCTTCCTTGTTCGATTTCATCTTTAGCTTGCTCATTTGCGTCTTCAATGGCAGAAAAAATATCTGATTTCAACTTCTCTCCTTCATCTTTTAACAGAGATTGCACCAGTTTTGATCCTGTGTTCAAGCAAAAGTCTTCCACGTATTCCTTTAATTTATTTTTCAAAAATTGAATAGGATTCTTCAAATAAGGAACAAACAATTCAAAACTAAGGTTTTCTCCAAGTTGAATCAAAACACTGGCATGAAAGTGAGCCTTACTTACAAACATGCTTTTTGTCGAAAGCTTAGTATCAACTGCTGCTACAATGCCTTTGTTAAGTTCTGATTTTATAGGCTCACGAAGCACATCAACCAATGACGTGGCCGCCAAAACTTCTTTCTCCATCTCTTTGCAAAGGTTGATAAAATACTTTTCCAGCCTTGGTCTTAATGTTTTTTCAAGATTCTGTCGAATATCACGTTCTTCAACATAACGCTCTTCCATTTTATCAAAAATAGGAAAGGCACGGGCAAATGTGTATAGCAGTATGTCACATACTAATGGTTTTTTAAACTTCATGTTTTGTTTCTCTGTTTCTTTATCAATAGTAGAAATGATTTCATCATACATTGCTTTAAGATCATTATGAGTAAATCTAACAGCTTTGTTGGAAACTCTCTCTGCAAACTGCTCTCCTTTAGAGATAACTTTATTTTTGATATTGTTTGCCCTTGACACATCGTCTTGTATGAACCAATTATACACGTTTTGGACCACTTTCAAACCACTCCCTCCATTAAATGAAAGCATATCTCTATCAATGACAGGATCAGCATTAAAAAAAGCAGAAATTCTATACTCTTTTGGTTTTAGTTTCGTTAGCAAGTCAGCTCTAAGATCAGAATTTTCTGGTAGAAGAACAAAAACCATATATTCATTGATATCACGCTTTACTTCCTCAAAAGGGGGAACTTCGCCAATCCATTGTTTCCATTCTCTTTGAAATGTTGCTTTACATTCTTCTTCGTCATTTGTTTTTTGAGTTGACACTAAATTTTTTGCTCTGCTCAGAAGTTGTTTTTCATAAACTTTTTTCCTTTCTTCAACATCTTGTTGTTGCTGCAGATGGTGGAAGGTTGCCTCACTATTTTCTATAACAGACGCTTCCTGATTTCGTTTGTATCTTTTAATTTTATCCATTACGCCTTTTTTCCATTGTTCAAGGGTAGATTTATCTTCACTGCTTTGAAAAAACGTCTGCATTTCTTTCTCCATTTTCGTCTTGAGTTGTTCTGCCTTTGCAAATATACGTTTTTTACTGCTCATCCAACATCTCTTTCGTTTTTCTCGTGTAGTGCATCTTTTCAAGTCTCTTTCAATACTTCTCTCAATTTCAGCCATTCCATTTACCATTATTTCTACTGATTCTTTGAAAATTTTTTTGCCTAACGATGCGTAAACTCTGATTTCGATCACATTTCGGAAACTGAAAATGACATTTTCCTTTAGCATGGCTTGCCATACACCTTTAACTCGTTCACGGAATGAAGAAACAGTTAGCTTGACCACTTCTTTTGAGCACATTAGCTGAATAATATTTTCCTTTACTTTTTGCAGGTCTCTACCATAATTTGGGTTTATCGGAGCCATGGGAGGACTTCCTTTCAATAGACTTGGTATGTAAAATACGTCTTTATTTTCATGAAATGTAATGATGTCACCTAACTTTTTATACTGATCTTCACAATTTTCTTGTATTGCTGCAAGCCTTACCATATGGTCTAGATTTTGTTTTAGATTTCGCCTATCCATCATTAGCTTATTTGCAACGTCATTAGCGGAAACATTTTGATGGACAATCTTGCATGATTTCTTGTCTTTCACAAGTTTCATTTTCAGGAAAGCGTGAACAGCCATCGCCAAAAACTCTTTCATTTCATTGTAGTTTTCACCAAAGATATTGACAATCGTGACATCAGCCACACCAATAACAAAAGTTGCCAATTCAATGGAATGTTCTCTCACTGTTGGATCAAGTCCTTCAGTATCGATGATCATTAAGAAGTCCAAGTTTGAGTCCGATTTGAGTCGATCACTAAGTGGAACAAGACAAACAAAAGAACCACGAGTGCACTTTCTCCGACTTACAGGAAATTCCAAGCCAAACATTGCATTCAACATTGCCGACTTACCAGAATTTTGAATACCTAACACAGAAATCACGCAGATTCTAGCGTTATTTGTTTCGCGTTCTACTTCCTTATAAACAGCATCAAACCATTTTAAAGGTAGGTAACCTGAATCACCATCTAATAATTCCAAAGGATGACCTGAAAGAAGAATCTTCGCACCAACACTGGCATAATTATTTATTACAAGATCGGAGAGTTGATGAAGTTGAGCAAGCTCTCTAATGACATGCTCCAAACCAAATAAAGAGTATGATATCAATGCTTCTAAATCTTTCAAACGATTTTCTTCCTGAGATTGTGAATCAAGCATGTCATTGTGTGTTTCTTGTACCTTTAAACGATATTGTTGTTGCAACTTTGCCATCGCAGATAGAGAAGCCTTATCAAATAAATACTTCAATCGTTGCAAGTTTCTGTTCAGCATTCGTTCATCCATCACAGCAATGGAATTCAGGAAATGACGAATTTCTGTATTCATCTTTTGAAATGATTCCATCTGAGCCTTCTTTTCTTTTGTTATATCTTCATCATATGGTTCAATTACAACGTTTTCTCTGCTCGTGTTTTCATTGTTGGGACGAAACTTTGGATTATGTTTCTTTCTTTCTAAATCCGCCAGAACAGGTATATGAAGTTGAAGCTTGAACCACGTTTTTGTGTTTTCAATCCCAAAAGAAAGCCAAGTTTTGAAAGTTTTGTTCCACTCAACATTAGCTTGATCATCATCAACATAAACTCCACTTTTCTTTGATAGAAACGTTTCTAGCGATTTCACTTCTTTTTCTTTTATGTTGCTCTGGATTGCTTGACGAATACTTTTCAAAAATCTGTAATCGGATGTCATTGATGATTTAGTGAAGGAATATAATTTTGTTGAATGTTGATCGATCACGCTGTCGTAGTAATTTTTTACTTCTTCTTGCATGTTTTCTTTAAAAATAAGGATTATTTTACTTTTGGACGACATGGCCTTTTCCAAAAAATTTTCCACAGGTTTGTCAGGCATTTCCGAGGGCAGCAAAACGCACAAAATGTGTGATATTTCACGAAGTATTTTAACTTGCTTTTTAAAATTTTGGGCATTTCCACGTAGATTGGCAAAACAGATTTCATTTTTTAACATGTTCTTGTCACATCCACCAGGAAGATACCACACAATTTCAACCAAACCATCAACGACTCTTCTTACAAAATCGCCACCTTCCATGTTTTTATGAAAGAAGAATTCATGATCTCCATTACCATCACTGATAATTTTATTCATCAGAGACGATTTGGACATGGTCACATTACCCACCCGGATAAATGACACTATGGGAAAGGGGTGTTCTGTTGCGTACACCTCTTTTGCCGAGTCGTTGATTGAGGCACCTCTCCAAGACTTTGTAATTTTTCCCAACGTTGAAAGCAAGATAGTTTGCTTCTCCACTGGATCATCAGGATCAGGTAAAATAAAAGGAACGCTAAGCTGACATTCGCTAAGTTTAACAGCTATATATTGTCGTAAGAAATTGTCAGAACAATGAAAAATTCCTAACAAAGCATCCATTGGGTTGATTCCTTCCAAAGTAAATTCACGCACATGGTAGTTGGCCATCATTAACATTTGAAGAATATATTTTGGAATTTGGTCATGTGAGGTCAGTTTATCCTCAGTAAACTTTTGCATATCTAAAGTGCGTGCATTTTTTAAGGTAAATTTTGCCTCGTGTTTGAAGCTTTGGGAAGGTGTGCCCGGTTCATTGGTTGGTGCATCACTTTCAAAGAAAGAAAGAAATGTTTCAACACCTAAATTAAAATAAAATAAATAAAACCACATTGCAAAAATGAATGTTGTCAGCAATGTTAGGTTTATATCATCAAAGCAATTTGTTTTACGGCAAACCAATGGGATCGATATCTCTGATTTACTCAACTTGCAACAGTTATCAATGGTGTAACCAATTTCATCACTGTTGGATGGGGAGATGGGACAATTTTCATATATGAATGTTATATGATTAATGAAATATCCTTAAAATCAATGAATATAAGCCTCTTTCCCAAATTATCGAGTCTATCTACGCCATTGACATTTACTTTGAATATCAATCAGCATTCAATTATTCCGCAAATGTTGACGCAATCAGGCTCTCCGTACAAATAATCAAAAATTACATATGCGCAAAGTTGCAGCAATGTTCGTTAGATCTTCATCTTTTTGCTTGTTACTCTTACATATGAGTTTAAAGCAGTATTGTCAATGAATATTTCATGAACACAACAAACTTTTAACAAAATATTTAGACATGTTCAACAACTTATAAAGCCATCTTTAATAGATATGATAATGTGTTATAAGCTTTAAAGTTGTTACATTGAGATTGATTTCTTTGAGGAAATTCGGATGTAAAAGTAATGAGTGGTGCACAACTGACTACAAGTGTACCGCTCCCTCCTCCCCAAATTAACGTTTGAGTTACGGCAACTCAAATAAATTTAAATCAGAAAATTTGAACATTAAAAAAGGAGATGTAATAAAATTTGGCATAATAAGAGGTTTTAAAATCGTAACTGCGTATAACACTGTTGATTTACGCATTTAATTAAAAGGACAACTTTCTTTAAAATAGACATGTTTCGACATCTCATGATGCCATCTTCAGTATAAGTGAAATAAAAAGTAATACAAGGCTTATATAATAGTAATATGATACATAAATTACAAGAATAATAAGGAAATAAGATGAATTAATGGGGAGCGTCCGAGCGTATTACAAACTAAATATTGTATTGAATTTAAAAACTTGAATATTCAGGTCAAGATTAGTTTTGTTAGTTTGGAGTGCTTCTTTAACTTTAAGGGTGAAAGAGGTGTCGGCATTGTCGATGATTTTGAAACAAGAGGGTGAATAGTTGGTTTTACACAAGTGAGATTTAAGAAGGTGTCGGTAGATATAAGAGTTTTTGTCTGTTGTGGTATGTTCCCTAGTTTTGGTAGATAAATGGTGTGAAGTTTCGCCAAAATATCGGGAATTACATTCCGCGCAGTTGAATTCATATACCACCATTGATTTAATTGAATCAGGGATTGGGTCTTTGAATGAGGTTGAAAAGGTTTTTCATTTTGAATGATGTGAAAATTAGTCAAATGTCAATATCTGTACAGAAGCGTTTCATAATGTTTGTACATCTGTGCTGTGTGTGTCGTGAGTAATGTCCGAATGTAATTTGAAGTATAGAGTTGTTATTTTGGAATTTTCATTTGTGTTCGTCGCGTCAGATATTTCGGTGTCTACTTTGAGGTTGTTGCTTTGTTTGTTGTCGAGATATCGTTTTACGGTTCTGTTAATAAAGTGTAGTGGGAAAGAGTTTCGTAAAAGAGTGGATGTGATGTTTTTTGTGTCTCGTTGAAAGCCATTGTTCGTATTGTTAAGTTTGTATGCTCTGTCGATTAGTGTGCGTGTATACGTCCGGTTTTGTATGAAAGTGGTGTGAAACTAAAATAGTTCATCAGAAGTCCTGTGTATGTTGGTTTGTGATATGTAGATGTTGTACAGCTGTCATGGGATTTTGTTAGTAAAATGTCAAGAATTGGTAGTTGATCTTGTTGTTCAGTTTCAAATGAAAATCTAATGTTTGCGTGATATGTGTTAATGTAATAATAAAACTTCATGGCCTCAGTTTCGTTAGTAAAAACACAAAAATATTGTCAACGTATCACTTGTAAACAGTTGTGTGAGGTCTGTCCTGTTTATGCTGAACCTGGGGTTGTGAGTGAATATTACGTCAATTGCTAGGTTGATGGTTTCATTAAGTGGTATGTTAGTAAATAGGCTTTCCACGTCGTGGGAGATGAAGAATTTGTGACAAGAAGTTGATGAGTTGAAAGATGAGAAGTCGCCGAGGAGAGTGAAAAAATCTTTAGTGGAGTGGTCATCTGGTATGAGTGGTGTTAGTGGAAACATGGCCGCCGTTTAAAATACACCGATTCTAGAACTCAAAACAGGGGACACAAACACCAGAGGGTCCGACATCGAGTGGCGCCTCTGTTATGTATCTATTTTGTGCTTGTATTAATTATTATTTAACTTATACTGAAGATGCCATCATGAGATGTCGAAACTCGTCTATTTCAAAAAAAAATTGTTGTTTTTATTAAATGCGCAGGTTTTAAAATCATTGAGCTGAACTATTCCTTATCGTAGTTTTTGAATTAAACCTATTTAGTAGTCAAAACATTAAATCATAAATTCCCGGTGTTGTTTTCATTGTGTACTAATTTATCCATATTTATGCCATTATCAACGTATATATTATCACCCAATTATTATAAAGATAATAATATACTCAAGATTATCATTGGCACTCAACTATTTATGAATTTATTATCATACTTATCATCTATGAATAAATACGTACTGTTTAAATATTCTCTGTCGTCGATAGAGATGTTTGCATCTTCTTCTTTGATGCCTTTACCATCTCCGTTTTCTAGATGCTTCTCTTCTTTGTTTTTCGTTTCTTTATTAAAGTCATTTGACATATTTTTATCCATAGTTTGATTGAACAATTAACTGCATAAAGAAAAGTTAGAACACATTTATTGATTTATCAATTGGCGACCGAACTACATCACAGTATAACTGCCATTACTACAGAACTCTAGGATGCATTAAAGGAAAATCAAGGAATTATATTATTTACATCTACTGTTTCAGGTCTTGTAGATCTTCTTAAGTCTTTTGATTTACGCAATCGTTTAGCCTTTTGGAAACGGTGACAGCACGTACTTTTATAGCAGATAAGTTAAGAAGTGTAAATCAAATTTGCTTTTAGACTTAGAGAAAATAGTTTCATTTGGAATCTAATATCTTGAACATTGATTTATGGAGGGTGATCTCCGCCAAAATTAAAAGCCATATTTTCAATTACTAATGCTCATTTTGTCCTTTGCAATGTGCATTTTGTCTTGATCATATTCCATTCTGGAATTTCATAATTGGATTTTGTCCTGTACAATTTCCGTTAAAACCATTGAGTTCTATAAGACCTGGAGGTGAAACGTCAACAAAATTACTATAAATTATTAGCGCGCGGCCGCGTGGTCAAAAACATGGCGCATTTTGGTGGTCAAAGTCAACGGAGAGACGCGGGCTCTTGAAAAGAAAATTTTTGTCGCCCACCCTGATTTGACCACCACGATTGCGAGTATAGAAAATATCAAAACTATTTATTTTCCTAACATAAACACTTTTTTAAAATTTTATTTATTAAACTGCCAACTTCTGTGGTTTGTGGATGCTGAAATAGCGACAGAAAAGGGAACATTTCTTGACTCCGGTAAGTAGCACAGTATTACTTTTACTATTTTGTTTTTAACACGATACTTGAAGTGTGTTTCTACTACTAAGTTTTAATTTAAAGTTATTTTGGTCCAGTCTTGTTTGTTCTTCACTTTATCGCTAACCAGACGTGGCAAAGCTGTCAATTTTATCGAGTTTTGCATCCATCTTGTATCATGATCAAGGATTCAAGCTAAACTCTCTTGATTTGAATTGAGTTTACCTCCCAAAAATGGGGCAGAATTTGTTCATGTTTTTTATGACAAGATGAAGGGAAAGTTTACAACAGAGTTGTGTTGAAATTGAATGCAGTGCTATGCAAAATTAATGAGAACAATGGTATATGTTGTATAATAAAAATAACTATTAAACTGCTTGCCTGCTTAATTTGACCGACTGTATAGTGTAGACAATTATAATGGGATTGGAAAGTTGGATTTATGCAAACAGCTTTAAAGTACTACTTAGCGTTTCTGTAAATGAAGTATTTATTGTTATAGTAAACAGGTTACTACTTCAAAACCAAGATAAAAGTATTGTGTTGAACAATGTGCTAAATTTGTTTCTATCTTGAAATTTTTGTTCAACAGTAGCTTATGATTATATCATTAATATGCATAAAAAATTAAACATATTATTATCTCATCTCACCAAATCCATACTTGGTACAATTCCAGGTGATCCACAAATTCACATCGGATGCATTGGTTACAATGAAGTTGAATGTAGAAGAAGCAAAAATAGATGGCAAAGAAATTCTTTGTATCTTATGAAGAATTAGTAGAAATCAATAAAAAGAATTCTTTAAACAAATTGTAAACAAATTTAAATAGTCCAGGCGGTGAGTGAGGTAGGTATCACCTGAACTTGTAATTTACGGGAGTAGGACTATCTAGACCAGTTTTTGGCGTAGAACACGAATCCGCATGTTATTCAGTCCGACAAGGCTGCTTTTAAGAGTTATTTCCAGATATTGCGCAATTCAGCCTCATTTTCATGCAAAATCAAACGTTTTTAAGATTTAGCTATTATTATTAATAAAAACACAGACGTGATACCTACCATTAATAATAATAATAAAAAGACGTATACAGGACCAGTTTTAAAATTAGAAGTGCAGTATAATTCAATGGGCAAGACACCCTCCCCAATATAGCCTAGTTTTCATGCAAACAAATTGTAATTTGATATAAATCTTAACATTAAATTTAAATCAACACTACTAGTTTTGATGTAGTTTCTTAAATAATTCAAATCACATACAGTACCTATAGCTGTATCATTCGTCGTCGTCTGAACTGCAGCTGTCTTCTTGGTCATCACTTTCCTCATCGCTTTCCTCATCACGTTCGACAAGTAGCTCGGCAACGTCGTCAGGATATGCTTCCGCGATCCAATCAATGTTCAAGTTAGGGAGCCAACCATGAAACTGGGGATCCTCCAATACCATAATTGGATGCTGTGCTTTTCTCAAAAGCCTGGCCACATAGTTAGCTCTGGTCACGGGCTTTCGTAGGCTGCTGCTACATAGTGGTAAGAGAGAAAGGTCAACTACTTCCAGAAAATAGCTGACCTTGCCTCGTTAACGTGTTCGATTTTCTTCTCTCCATACAAGAAGCACACAAATCTTTCCATGGCAATAAACATCTCTTCAGGAACATGCATTTCCATTCCCAACCGGCAAAAAATGTTCAAGAACTCTGGATCTTTGCTCACTTGTTTCCAACAAAAAGGCTTGCCTTTACGCAGAAAGCTTGCCACATAATCATTTCCGGTAAATGCATGGAGGCCAACTAATGCTTTCTTTTGTTGATTAGCTAGACTACACACGTTCAAGTGAAGGAGCTTTGCGTCTTTCCAGAACCGTTGTCGATGTAGATTGCCACATTGCTGATTGGCTCCATTCCAAGTAGAATTATGGGAATATCGATGTCGCCGGATTTTGATCGTACCACACAGGCTATTTGTTGACCATCGCTGTGGTAGGATGCATGCTGAGTAAAATACACAATCTTAGTATCAGCCTCTTCGTGGTCTGTTGCTAGTTCTCTTACACAAGAAGAACCGTTTTCTGTTATCTTGTGGCAGGCGTTCCCCCTAGCGAAGTATACAACACGTTGTCCTAGTTGGTTCCTATTTCGAACCCACACTTCTTCGAGAAGCTCAAAAAGTCGCTTCTTGTTGTCTCCGTTACCAAGGAACTTCTTGAAATCAGCTGGTACGCGCACATTCGCACTTCTAATTACAAACTTGTCGCCATCACCTCGAAGGTCTCGTTCACTGTTGTTTATCGAACGATCCCTGTATGTATCACATGCAACGTAAACGATGTTATACCGCATTGGAAGATCTGACAACAGTCGTAAAGCAACATCTTTAAACGTGTTCCGTACCTTCACCATACTTCGAATAATAGCTGCGATATCTAGAATATAGATTCTATGAGCATATTGATCGTCGGGAAATTGCGCGTCGTTTTCAATCAATGATCGTAACGCTGCATCGAACAACATGCTTTTAGCGGTCTTTCTCCTAATGCCATCGCATGTTGCCTTGGATAGTGGGACTGGTGCAAGGGGGTAACACAGAGCTTTGTCGATATTGATCGCAGCATTCTGTTGTTGGGACTTGGCAGCAAGAATACCAAGAATGTTCCGCTGAACAGTTATTTCCTTAGATTTACCTTTCGTCGAAACTTTTAGCTTCTTACTTACGTCCGTAAAACTCTTCCATTCCACTAGTTTTATGGGACTGAAATAAAGGGTTTCATTGGCACTTTCTGAGTTTAGTCGCTCAAAGAATGTGTCTCTCGACAATGTTCCACGCTCTTTAACAGACAAGAGGCACTCTGCTACGTCATCAGGTAAATAGCTACAGGAGGCAATAGCTACAGGAAACAACTTATCGTGGTCCAAGTCAGTGCTGAAAGGATCGATAAAGTCATTCTTTAACACATTTATAATGGCCTTGACGTTGTTCTCCGCGTAATTTGCGAACGACGTAAACACTTTCGCGGGTTATTTTGGACCTTGTTTACCCCTGCTTGATTGAGAAGTGCGTCGACATATTCAGCTTTGCATGGTCGTGTGAGAACCCACTTCTTGTAAGCACTATCCAGGGTTGTGAAGTTCTTGATACCACCTATAAAGAGAATGAACAAATATGGTTAACATAAACTTCAATAATATGCACATGTACATATAACAAAATATTAATTAAATATATTAATGTCATGGAGAAAAAGTACCTGTGGCTTTTGAGCTCTTCATAAACGTCTGCTCTCCTGCACCATCAATACTTTGTCTGATGTTTAGATCATTACGGCATACCAACAATCCCTTGTCCTCCAGCTCTTTAAGTATACCTGGATGGGTCTTGTCCAAATTCTCAAACTGAAGGCAATAATATGCGCCATAACGTGCATAGTTCTGCTTGTTGGTAGAAAAGCAGAGCGAGATTCAGCAGACTCTCTCCAGCGAGACTCTCTCCAGCAGTGAAGTCTCAGTTGAAAGTAATTCGTGTTAACTGAGAAGTGCAGTTCGTGTAGCCTTTCGATTAGATCCAAGTAGCTCATCCAGAATTGTGCAGTTTTCCCGTGGTGGCCCCGAAGAGATTCCATCTTTTTCTTCATGTATTCTTCTTCGTACGCTCTGAATGGTCTTTGGGAAATAATATCTTTGAAATCCACGTCTGTTACGATCTCCTTAATCATTGTATCCAATTCATCTGGACAACTACTGACTAGAGCTTCGCAAAACAGTCTCTCAATTGTCTCCGCAAAACATTCATGAATCCTCCAGCTCCGATTGTAATGTTTCCCAGACAAAACACCTTTGTTTCCTCCGGAGGTACAGAGTCCTGCTTGGTACACAACTTCTTCGAAACCAGCATCTTGCACTATTTTTCCAATGACAGAGAAAAATTCCATCATCCCGTGAAAGTCACCTAAATGTATCAAGACTTTATCAAATTCCTTTGGATTGTTCCATAGTATGTGGTAGAACTTCGCTGCAGCACCAGCATCTACAGTTATATGCGTGTAAATCATATTCGATGCCTTTGCTAAATTCTGCGACTGAACAATGCATTCTAGTACTGTGCTGTACCCGGTTATTGGATTGCGAATTGGAGGTAAGAATGTTATCCTTGTTCGTTTGGAGTTAATTCTTCCAAATATTAGACTAATCCAACCAACGAATCTTGAAATGGATTGACTAGTAGCACTGTGTGCT